ATATATATATATATATATATATATATATATATATATATATATATATATATATATATATATATATATATATATATATATATATATATATATATATATATATATATATATATATATATGAAAATTACACGCGATAATTTCCATCTACAAAACCCTTCAACATTTATATGTCGTTAATATTTTTCATTTTATTCGTGCAACTTACTATAGTTAATATTGTCGTACCTTATATTTAAATATGTAAATTTTTGCGGCAAGCACGAAAGTACTGCACGCCGTTCCCATAAAGTGCCCGTAACCCCAAAATTGATTTTCAGCTTGTTAAAAGTATGCTACCAGTGGAACAGTTTTGCGAAAAAAAATTGCGTTTGGTTGAAAAGCAAAAATTTTAGAGCCACTTGAATTATGGATTGTTCGGTCAATGGATGTCATGTACGGGAGTCTGGGTCTAGCACAATTTATGATGTCACGGGAGTTACTGAATATCACTACTAAATAAGTAAATACAGTAATACACGTCGAGTTTTGAACTAAAACCATCGTGATATGATCGAAGTTATTATTGTCATATTTCAGGAATGTTACGATTTACAGTATATGTTCAAACTAAGCCGGGTTACCTGCATGTAGTCCGTACGACTACACTTTTTGTCACGCACACTAAACTGCAGCTTCTGTTTTTTTACTGATCAGTTTTAGTGAGCATTTTCGCAAGTTTATGAAACTTTGCCGCGGTTTCTACTACGCTGATCGATCTACCAAGGATAAAATATTTTGTCCTGTGCTTTTAAGTTGTCCCTGTGGCAATATTTTATTGGCACATATACAATCTATATATATGGCAAGACAATTTGCACTGTCTTGTAAAACACTCTGCTACGCCTCGTGTTTACACGCGTATTTTCCCAACATTCCCCGCGTGCATTATCACACTACAAACGCACGCGACTCGTTTTCTATTTCCTAATTAATAACATTTCTTATGTCCTCTGAAAAAATCAATCATGGCAATTTCATAGTTGGACCGGAAATAGTGTGAAAGGCGAAGTTTACCAGAACAAATAGTTTTAGACTATTGAAAACAACGCCTACTTCTATAGCCATCTGTTTCATGCATTTTATAAAATTCAGTCGAGCAATCATTGTATTTATTCGACTATTTTTCACCTTTTATCCAGCCGCGTATCCGAAAGTGTAAAAAGTCAAATCCTTGCTCGAGATGGGTTTGCAAATATTCGACCAATAAATGCAGATCTCTCGGCGAGTGGAGCTGATTTACTACAGGCAGTATGCGTAGAATTTGGTGAAGAAATCAGCAGTTGTGATGTCTTTTGTGGATCGACAAAGGTGCTATTTTAAGATATTTCAGAACCTAGGTTAATTATATCAATGTTATGGTATCAAAATGATTTTATCGATTGGTAGTAAACTAAATTAAATGTCAATTCTATCGAACTTTGATATAAATTCAGTATTGAAAAATGGCTTTCAAGCGTTCTGATTGGCTCCCTCAGCAGTAACTCTGAGGCAATAGTTACTGCTCAGACTGCTGTGAACAGTAACTAATGCTTTCAAAACAAAAAGCCACATACTATGTAAAGCCACATGCTATTCCTATAAAAGCAAAAGAAGCAACAATATTTAACAATTATTCGCCGAAGGCGAGGTGATTATCGGTGAATAAAAACCGAGACGAAGTCGAGGTTTTTATTCACGATAATCACCGAGCC